ACAGCAGTGAAAAATGACATTTAAAAGGTGCAGCAGGACCATCTCCTCTTGGGGAGGAGGAATCCCTCTTCCAGGACAGACAGACGTGCAATATCATGTGTATAGAATAAATCACTGTAAAATATTTAGCAGTATGGACAACCATAATTAAATTTGTTTATTTTAAACATATCTGAAGAACATTGTATAAACAAATTTGAGGAACATGATCCTGGAGGACAGGCCACCTTCCAGGTGCCTCCAACAGACCCAAACCACACAGCCTTCCCTTCAGACAAAGACCTGGTAGGAGGACAGACTACACCACCAGACTAAACCCTGCATAGAGGATCATAGGCCTTATTCAGGTTAACTTTGAAGTACCCTACAATTAGAATTTCATCAGAATTAGTAACAAGGTCTGAGATGAAGTCTCCAAATTTTTCTAAAAATATTGCATAACAAGTGCCATCAAATGAAACTATGATGGCTGTATTTTGCTTTGACCTTTATTTCTAAGAAGAAATGCTCCTAAGAGTCACTTAAATAAGAGGCCCCCAGAGCCATTCACCTGAGTTGCATAGGGGTGGAGACAGATATAAGACCTGGGTACATAAAACAATAACTGTGTACATGGAAAGTGTGAAATTGTTTTGTAATTTGGGTGAACTGACCGGGACACAGGTTTCATTGAGAGGTTTGCCCTTTAGTACAATATCCAGTGTGAGCTAATGTCTGAATTTTGATCCTTAAGTCTTTGTCTGATATTAATACTCTATACAAACATACCTATTTGGGGGTGGCTGTGGCTCACGAGGTAGGGCAAGTCGTCTTCTGACCAGCAAGTCGGTGGTTTGACTCCCAGTCTCCCCACATGCCCCTGAGCAAGACACTGAACCCTAAAATACTCCCGGTGGCTTGACTAGCACCGTTGTGTGGCAGCCTTGTCATCATCGGTGTGTGAATGTGTGTGCGAATGGGTGAATGGTGTATAATCTCCCTGTAAAGCGCTTTGGCCAGTGCATAAAAGCGCTATATAAATACAGTCCATTTACCATTTATTTATGACTGTACCTCCGTCTACCACTGCGTCACCCTACCCATCTGAAACTTTCTCCACTAGCTCCCGTAACATCCTGGATGACTTCAGGGAGGCCTACTATTGGCTGAGGCAGAACACAGACGAACATGCCAGAGTGATGTCCTGGTGGGACTACGGCTACCAAATAGCAGGCATGGCAAACCGAACCACGCTGGTCGACAACAATACATGGAACAACAGTCACATAGCACTGGTGAGAGCTGCTGTACCTTTAACCATGTCTGGCATTTGACCTTTCACTTCTGTTCCATGTAAACACATTCTCTTAAAATAAACTGAATAAAGGGGCACTACAAAGGTTTGGTTTACTCATGATGGGGTGTACTACTCAGCGCCTGAACACAGTTGTGTAATGTCTTCTTTGGTTCTGAAGGAGTTTCAGTTTTTTTTAAAACAGAGCTGCTGAAACAAGTCTTTGTTGTAAACATACCTTAGTAAGACTGTCATAGCCGCATGTGGTTCTTTTCATGTATTCCTTGCTACTTTTTGTAGAAAATATGTATTTCCATACCCAAGCTGTGATAACCATTAAAGTTATTTGCTCAGACTTGACAAAGGATGAACTCCCCAAAAGATACAACTGTTTTCACAAGCTGGGGAGGCAACTGTGGTGTGGTGGGCAGAGCAGTCGTCTCCCAACCAGAAGGTTGAAGATTCGAATCTCAGTGCCTGCAGTCCACATGTCGAAGTGTCTTTGGGCAAGACACTGAACCCCCCCCCACAATGGTTAGAGCCATCGGTTGAGGTGGTGCCGCAGATGGCTGCCATCGGTTCTGTACCGGAAACAAATTCCTTGTGTGTAACATACTTGGCCAGTAAAAGTGATTCTCCTTATCCTGTACAGCGTGCCCCAGACCTTGCTGTGTAAAATTTGTGGACTGCCCCTTCAATAATTTTAAACAAGCTCTGTTGACTTGAAATTGTAAAACTGCAATGTCTTTGCCTACAGGTGGGTAAAGCCATGTCATCTAATGAGAGTGCAGCCTATGAGATCATGAGGTCACTGGATGTTGACTATGTCCTGATCATATTTGGTGGGGTAATTGGCTACTCAGGCGATGACATCAACAAGTTCCTGTGGATGGTGCGCATCGCAGAGGGGGAACACCCCAGGGACATCAGGGTGAGAGAGATGTCACACATACTTTATTTCACTTTACTGTAGCACAGCAGTTTTTAAATATTAACTAAAGAGATGGTGGCTGTCTGCAAAGTGGAATTCATATGAACGTTTAATGTGCTCTCCTTTGAGAGGAATCACACCCAGTAGTCGTGTGCTTTAAGATATTTAGCTGCAGTGTGCATCAGTTCACTTATTTTTTGCTCCATGTCTCCTCATCTCACCTCTCAACCCTAGGAGAGTGACTACTTTACCCCACAGGGAGAGTTCAGAGTGGACAAAGCTGGCTCCCACACCCTACTCAACTGCCTTATGTACAAAATGTCATACTATCGCTTTGGAGAGATGCAGGTATGTCATTATTAATAATCCTTCTACAGAACATTCCTCTTACTGAGTAATTGATTGTAAAGGACATCATGCAGTCATGGCCAAAAATATTGGCACACCCTGCATTTCTGTCAGATAGCACAACAGTTTTCCTAGAAAATTGTTGCAGTCAAATTCTGTGGTTTTCTGGTATTTATTCCTTTTATTTGCACTGGAACGAGATGAAAAAGCAGAAAAACAGCGAAATCTGATATATTCCACACAGAACTCCAAAAATGGACCAGACAGAATGATTGACACCTTTTGAAAATCATCAGAAATAGTTGTATTTCAAGCATGTGATGCTCCTTTAATTTGTAAAGAAACTCACCTGTGGCAATCAGCAGGTGATGGCAACATAGAAATCACACTCACAACCAGTTAAAATGGAGAAAAGTTGACTCAACCTTTGTGTCGTGAGGACACTGTTAATTATCAATGGCTGAGGATCACAGATTTGTGTGTGTGCAGGCACAGGGTGTAACAGTGTCAGCTTGCACCCTGTTGCCACCTGAATAACAAGGGGCACTATGGTAGGAGACCCAGGGGGACCCCACCGCTGACACAGAAATACAAAGAAGCCAGACTGGAGTTTGCCAAAATTTACCTGAGGAAGCCACAGTCATTCTGGGAGAATGTCCTGTGGACAGATGAGACTAAAATAGAGCTTTTTGGTCGAGCACATCATTCTACTGTTTTCAGAAAACAAAATGAGGCCTTCAAAGAAAAGAACACGGTCCCTGAAGTCAAACATGGTGGAGGTTCACTGAGGTTTTGGGGTTGCTTTGCTGCTTCAGGCACTGGATGTCTTGACTATGTGTATGGCTTTATGAAATCTGAAGACTACCAGTGAATTCTGGGGCACAGTGTAGGGCCCAGTGTCAGAAAGCTGGGTCTCCATCAGAGGTCGTGGCTCTTACAGCAGGACAATGACCCAAAGCAGACTTCACATAGCACCAGAAATGGTTTCAGACAATGTGCTGGAGAGTTCTGAACTGGCCAGCAATGAGTCCAGGTCTAAATCCCACAGAGCAGCTGTGGAGAGATCTCAGAACAGCAGCTGGGAGAAGGAAGCCTTCGAATCTGAGAGACATGGAGCAGCTGGCAAAAGAAGAGTGGTCCAGAATTCCAGTAGAGAGGAGGAAGAAACTCACTGATGGTTACAGGAAGTGACTGATTTCAGTTATTTTGTCCAGAGCGTGTGCTACCAAATATTAACTTGAAGGTGTCAATAATTCTGTCCAGTCTGTTTTTGGAGTTGTGTGTGGAATGTATCAGATTTGGCTTTTTCCCTGCTTTTTGTTGTTTCAATGCAAACAAAAGGAATAAACATGAGAATACCAAAGAAATTGTGACTTAAGCAGTTTTCTGGGAGAAGTGGTACGTAATCTTACAGAAATGCAGGGGGCATTGTTTTTAGCCATGACTGTACATGAGCTAATCAAAATAATTTCATACAGGAATAACTTTGTTTTCATTTCTGTAAAGTTGGACTTCAGGACACCTCCAGGCTTTGACCGGACACGTAACGCTGAGATTGGCAACAAGGACATAAAGCTGAAGCACCTGGAGGAAGCCTTCACCTCAGAGCACTGGCTGGTCAGGATTTATAAGGTCAAAAAGTTGGAGAACAGAGACCGTGTGGAGCAAAAGCCACGAAGCACTGACACCACTAAGCAGAAGTACACCTCCAAAAAGGTAGGCTCCTCTTACCAACTGGACTCCATCTACACTGGCATTACATTCCAAGAACAGTGGATTGAGAGTGCACTGTATACTCACAGCAACAGAGGCTGTGTTTATTTAATGGAATCCACAGTCAAACATTTATCAAAACAAAAAGTAAAGGTAGAGTTTGCACTTTGGCACCAATTCCAAGGACCTGTTGCTCATGCTTATGGGGGCTGAAATAACTGTGTAGTGCATCTGGTAGGATTGTAAACATTCAGATATATGAGCAACATTACAGTGATGAACAGCTGTTACTTTTACCTCGTGTCCAGGTTTAAGTCTGGCACTTTGTGCAACTTCAAGCAAAGAAATAAAGTGAAATACAACATTTTAAGTTTCATTATATATGTCATTTAATATTATACAGCTTCCTGCATCACAGTCCACCCCTCACAACTGTCACTTTCAAATGTAGCTAAAGCTACAGGTAAAGGCAGTATCCATTCAGCCAGTGAGCTCACAGGAAACTGTTTATGTGGGAAGCTGTCTGTCATGGTCATGGCTGTCATCAGCTCCTGACAGTGAAACCTGTGCCCCACCTGAGGATCCCACGCCCAGGGTGGGATTGGACACTTGATTGTTTTCATTAGCATGATTGACAATGCTTCATCTTAAAATTGGCGGCTCTCTGCTTCCACCTGGTGGACAACACTGAGCCACAATACATGTTTTCACTTTTTATGTTGTGAAGCTAATTTTCCCCTTTGAACATATTTTTCATTTACACATGCATACATAAAAGGGAGAAACAAAGTGTATTTTATTACAGTTTACTTTTTGTTTTAAAGTTTATTTAAAGCTCTCATTCTGTTGCTTTTTTAAAAACTATCATCCACTGAGCTGGACTTTTTTGTCAGTAGTGTTTTCCTTTTTTTTAACCTTAAACACTACAAACTAACTTTAATTTGCAACTGGGGCTCTTGCTGTTGTGTACACAGTGTCCAGTTTTAAACCTGCGCAGTCGGGCCCAGTTCAGTCATGACTTGTATTTTCCCTTCCATCTTATTTCTCACCATTCATTTCTACCCAGACCATCAGTTTACAGCTTTTTATTTGGGCTCAATATTACTTTATATATCTGTAAACATAAAGGAATTTAACTGATGGTATAACACATTTAGTACAGAAAATGAAGCAGTCTAGATCATTATCAACAAAGGGCCAAAGGTGTAGGGCCACCCATGATGGCTATACATTTGAGTACAGATGTTTTTATGACAAATGTAGTCTTTTAATCTAAATGGAAAAAAGTTGGATCCAATTATGAAGAACATTTATTAGCATGTTTAAATGTCAGTGGTTACTGAAGGACAGCGGTCTTGGCTTGATTTTTACTGGACATTTCTCCTCCTGCAGACAGCCAAGAGAAAGCGGGGATACATCAAGAACAAGCTGTCCGTCAAGAAGGGCAAGAAACTAACTAAGAAATTTTTATAGGAAGACCCCACCACCACCACCACCAGAGGCACACTGGACAGGAGAAAGGAAAAATCCCAAACACAAAACTTTCAACAAAGCAAGCGGCCAACAGTAAAATCCACCAAGCAGATGAATAAGGAACTCCAGAGGCTCTCTTGTCATCATGAGCGTCCTCATGAGGACGTCCACGCTGACAAGGTTGCCCTTTCCAAGCAGAATGTGTTGAACCCCAGCTGACCTTTGACCCTAAAAGGAATGTGAATGAGGCAGAGAACAGTAGATGTCTGGTAGTATGAGATCCTCCCCACACTGGAACTGTGACTTTTGACTCGCTTTTCTTTTTTTTGTACTTGAATGTTCTGTGAGTGATGGGAGACAGAGAAAGCAAGAGAGATTAGATGTCCTTAATCCAGGGACTCCATTTGCAACTCTATGCATCATTCAGACCACCATTCTACCATGTTACAGATTCAGATTCAGGCCTGCTCAAACTTAGATTAAGGTGATTCTAGGATCACTGAAATGGTCTTTCCCATTGTTGGAATGTCTCCAATTCTCAAATATGTTTGATGGTACAGGAATGAGAGGAAATGGACTTGACCTGCCCAACACCCAGGTATAGGAAACCCAATGTGGTTGGATCACAGTAAGCACATGGGTACTGGGTAGTCTGTTTTAATGTATTTCATTTCTTTTTACATCCTCCTTGGGATCCACTATCAACAGAAGTGTGCATGTACACATACAAGCCAACAAGAAGCATCACCCACATCCAGCCTCATACTGCTGCACTGACAGGATACAGATTATTTCTGAATCAGACTGCACTGGCTACTTAATTTCCCCTTTCTTAACTTGGGTCTGATTTTCATAGTCTGTCAGTAACACTGTACTCCCCATTACTTGAGACCTGGCAACATAGCTAAAAACATGTCTTACAGACAAGGAACCATGAACAAACAGGTTAGGTTATTCAAGTTTATTTCTAAGAGAAAAGAAAGGCAAAACAGAAAGTGATGACACAACAGTCCGCTGGAAACATCATCACAGCTCAGACTTCTGGGCTCAACTTGCTGAAATTGTATGTACAGTCCTCCTCTAAAATGGAGGAGTATTACCAAAACTTAAGGTACACTCTGTTTTAGAAACAATTAAAGTGTCTTCCCATAATTTAGTATTGCAAGTTCATTAAAATTGTGGACTAACAAACTTTTACTTTTTTTTTTTTTCAAAAGCAGAGCAGAGGCCAAAACATTTGTTTTCTTTCTAGTATGGGTCAAACTCCAAAAATGCTAGAACCTACATTTCCCATAATGCAACTGGATAGCATTTTTCACTGGATTCTCCTCCTCTCTTTAGCACTGACTTCTTTCACACCCAATATGTCCAGTTTGTAATGTAGGCTTTCTGCTAACAGTACATCATCTCAGCCCAAACCAAAATGGCCCCTGAATGCATGACTGGGGTTATAGTTCTCACAGTTTGGAAAGCTCCTCCCAGATCACCACTCACAGGCTGAGTAGTCCTCCTTGTGATGAGTAAACTGAACTTGTGTAAAATTAGTGGAGTGCCCCTTTAAAGTGGTGTAATCTGGCTAAACTGCTGTTGGTGTCCAGTCTAATTGTCTGAATGCTTGTAAATCTTGCATTTTGACTTCTAATGACTTTGAGTACAGTGTTATTAGAGCTGAGAGAAATTATGACCCATGCTATGGCACTCCTAATTTGTAATGAAACAGAATGGTCTTTTAAGCTGTGCCAGTTCTTAGCTGCACCGTTTGCACATTAATAACAGCACTGGACTCCACATGGAACAGGCCTGTAGGAGCTCAGTGCTGTTTAAGATGCTTCAGGGAAGCCAGACCAAGAACCACATTTTATCAGTTAATGATGAATGAAGAAATCCAGTCCAACAGAATGCTGCATCTGTCTTGACAGATACAGTAACAGGATCAAACACACTCTACTCCTGCTAATTATTCCTTGATGAATTTAGAAAATCTTCTCATTACATGCTGGTGGTTCTTTTATAACTGGCTGAATTTTCACTGTCTCTTCATTTGTAGCTCCATCATGCAACCAGTGACATAGCATTGTCAGCAGTTCCTTTTGTGAAACAGCCTTCCCTTAAAATGAATCTGCCTTATTATTCTTCTCGAAAATATCCTAAGAAACATCGATCCGGCTCGAGCTGACTTTGATTCTGTTGGGAGGTTTTGTCAGAACACCATCGTAAGAAAGTCCAGGTGGAGAGGTTTGCACTGGCCTTAAAAGAAACCCTTTCACAATCTTATTTCCAGAGAGCAACAGTCAGTGAGGGTATTTATTACATGACAATGGAAGCTGCGATGACTAAAACAAGCATAGCATCTGATCATGAGACGCAAGGGTTTTGTTTTGATTTTCAATGTTTCTTCCATAAATTGTAATGATCTGGAAGCAGGTGTGAGAATGAAACGTGCCGTTTTTGAATAAAGCTGTTGAAGTAACCCTTGTTTTTATTTCTTGCATCTCGTATGCAGAACGTACGGTGTTACTGTCATTTAACATAGACCTTTCCACACGGCTGGTCTTCAGTGCCAATTAAGGTGCACTATATACCATAGCGTATCACTCTGGAGATACCCTTAACTAGTCTGCTTCTGGATTAATGCTAACTGAATGGATTAGATTCTATATTAAAATGGATAAAAACCAATTCCACTTATAAATGAAATTGACATTTGAAGCAAAATTATAGAAACCACGTTGATTGATGTACTTCAGCACAGCCTCATGATGGTGCTAGACAAAGTTGGGCTTCATCCTCTGATGACCATGCATGTTTGGCTCATTTCAACCAATACAGTCTGAATACACAATGGTGCGATGCAGCTGATACCCACACTCGGTGAGCTTACAGACCAGAATACTGTACCGCTGCTTTAATGTTGTTTTTCAAATGTTACAGCCATAACCCGTCTCTATTCACACAATAAAACAAATTCAAAGAATAAAAAACCAACTGCATTGACAAGAATGCATTGTTTCTGTTACAGCTCCTTTGTCGAAGCTAGAAAATATTCTTGCTGTCAATACATAATGAACACAGCGCTTCCACACTACTTGTGAACACCATGACACCTCTGATGAATACAAATGAGCAGGACTTAATGGGAAGATTCAAACACAGAAACAAGAGGAGCTCAGTGTGTATGAGAGGCAGGTGTTCCACCTTCAAATGACAGGTATCCTCCATGGGTTCTTAATCCATACACCAGGAGGGTGGAGAGTGTGTCGCACTGTCAGGCTACATGACAGGAGCGACTGAGACGAGGCCTCTCGCTGTTCTTTTGTGATGGAAAATGACTGAGTCTTTCCTAAAGACACAAGAACCGTCACTGGATGCCGTCGGCAGAGCTTTTAGCTAATCAGTCAAAAACAAAATGTGTCCATTTCTCTGTTTGAATGTACTTTTTAAAAACGGCATCTAAAATAATTAGTCCCTGGGCAGTGTGGAATTAGGCCACTTACAACAACCAGCCAAAATCAAACTAGTAACTCCAGTAAGAATAATTAATCAACCTGGTGTTTCTCATTTTTGTTTATCAAATTGTTTGGAAAAAAGAGTGCCAGTCAGTTATTTTTATTTTACATTACTGTTCTCCATTTTCTAGTGTGCAAATGTTTTTATACGGGTGTCCATTAATTTAAACAATTCAAATCAGCTTTATTATACCTCAATATTTGATGAACGGTCTCAGTCTATAGGCAATGTATGCTTGTTTGACATAGGTAGACCATCACAGTCAACATTACTCCACCTTTTCTGGCACATATGACTTGAGCTGGTGTTGCACTGAAGCTGAAGGCTGAACTGCAGCTGTCTTCATTGACACACATCTGGTTGTTCATACCCCCTCGTGTCCAGCAACAGTTTCAATACAAAAAAGGCCACATTATTTTCAACTTAAGGCAACATCCACTTATTCTTGGGATTTGCTTTGCAGACAGAGCTCATGAATGCACTGCTGTTCCTGAATGAAGGAATCCTTGTTTTTAAATTGAAACCGTGATTTAAGAGAGCGCAATTTTCAATTTGCAAGCCCGTGAAGCTGTGATTTTCATTTGAATTTACACAGTTACCAAAAGCTGTATCAGTTGAATGTTTCCGGCAAATGTACTCAGCTGTACTTTATTAACAACCCTTTAATAAGCTCTCTGCTGCTGAAAATATCTCAGCTTTTTTGGTTTTGTTGAAGAACACATGCCACTATCATTTGTTCAAAATAAAAGGAGTGTGCTGTGTCTTTGCTGCTCATAAAATACTGAGCTCATGTGAACAGACTCGTACACAGTCAGACATGACCTCTGTCACCATTACCATGACACATAAGCAGCATTTATCAATAAATATAATGCCAAGTTTGAATCAATAAAACAATCATAGTAAACAATTATTACACTAATATTAAGAAATGCAAAATAGATTTGTTTGATTCTATTTATGTAGAGACAACATTGATATACAGAAATAAAAACACTGAGCAAAATCACAGGTTTTCCTCAGATTGTTCATCCCTAGCTGGTTTTAACTCGGCAGACGTTCGACCTGTGGCTGTCTGAGGGTCCCTGAATGGACCAACTGCTGATGAACATCATCCCTTTTAAACTTTGGTTTAAAAATAAGCGTCTCAAATTGTTCACTGTGATGGATTACTTATGCAAGTGACTTGAATCTCTGCAGGCTGCTTTTCACAGAGCGCTCAAAATAATGAACACGTTGTAGTTTTTAATCATAGACTATTTGTAGTCAGTGGGCTAAGATATGCAAAACCACTGGCACTAAAGAGGGGACAGGCTGCATGCACTCTGTGGATGAATTCCACACTGAATCTGTTTCAAACTGTCATTTTGCCCCTCAGCCTTCACCTCAGCTCCCTGAAGTCATCTGTTACAGGGGTTAATAACTACATTTCACTCGTTACCGTTTAGTCCTCCTCATTCTCATCTCCTCCAAATGACAACAGGCTGTTATTCTTTACTTTCTTTCCAGATGTCACTTCCTTCTTCTCCTCCTCCCTCTCTCCTCCCTCACTCTTCTTCTTTTTGCTGGAGCTGGCAGTGATGCCCTGGAATTTGTCTGAGGAGGAGCGCTTGGCCGGTTTCTTGAAAAGGATTTTACCATCAGCAGGAGGTTCATCATCTGCAAGCAAGATAGATGTCTGTGATTCATTTAAGATTGCAAAGACAAGGATCTACCTTTTAGATGCTTGCTGTTGCTTGGCAACATACAACAGAATTTAAAGCTCCCCTCCAGCTCTGTTTGGGGATATATATAAAAATATACACACAATAATTCTAAGTGCATGAACAGAGTGGCCTTTTGTTAAGTTTAGGTGTATCACTTAGTTGTCAGTACAGGCATCAGGGAGACAGACCTACAGTATGTGCTTTAGTGTTATCTCACTGAGCATATCCTTCTAATGTAATTGTTTAAAAAAAAAAAACTAAGTTTCCCATGGGAAAGGGCAAAATTAGACAGATACAGTTGTATGACAGTGGTTTTGTCTATCTTTTGACAAAATGCTTACAGAGTAATGTCCCATATACAGTGGGGCAAAAAAGTATTTAGTCAGCCACCAATTGTTCAAGTTCTCCCACTTAAAAAGATGAGAGAGGCCTGTAATTTACATCATAGGTATACTTCAACTATGAGAGACAGAATGAGAAAAACAAATCCAGAAAATCACATTGTCTGATTTTTAAAGAATTTATTTGCAAATTACGGTGGAAAATAAGTATTTGGTCAATACCAAAAGTTCATCTCAATACTTTGTTATATACCCTTTGTTGGAAATGACAGAGGTCAAACGTTTTCTGTAAGTCTTCACAAGGTTTGCACACACTTTTGCTGGTATGACGCAGGGACTCTAGAGGTTAT